TAGCCTTGATTATTGCAGCACAAACTTTTGGCATTCGTTACAAAAGTGTTGAAACTTGACTAATGCATGGAATAATAATACAACACAAAATGTACTTAGAACAAAATGTATTGAAACAAGAAAGTGTACACAATATTTACATATAGTCTTTTGTATATTCTTGGGAAGACCGTTCCTGGAGAATGTGTTGCAGTCGCAGTCGGGCAGAGTCTCTGGTTGAATCTCTTGATTCATTCCTCTCTTCCCGGTACCAACCATATTTATATGGTCGGTACTCGACTATGCAAATTAGGTGGATCCTACCACAACAAAAAGTTTCTCAAAGTATAGGTTTGATAATTGATTCCATTCTTTTTTTCAATTGATTCCATTCTTTGTTCAATTTCTTCACTCTTCTGTCAAGTTAATCTCTCTGTCATGCTAATACTGGGGGTCGCTTCAAATTTTTGAACTGTAGAATATATATATATATATATATATATATATATATATATATATATATATATATATATATGGGCGAGAGAGGGAAACAGAAATGAACATTGCATGATGACTATTAGTTGCACACCAATGATAGCTTGAGACATAAAACGGAGAGTCAACATGTACGGATGATTTCTGTTTATATCTACAAATTCTGTATCTATGATACTGAACACTTCTTCTTCTTCCTCTTCTTCTTCCTCTTCTCCTTCTTCTTCTTCTTCTTCTTCTTCCTCTTCTTCTTCTTCTTCCTGGATTCCGTTGGGACGTTGAGAATCACAGCTCTCCACTATTTCCCGTCCTTTGTAGCTCTTAGCAATCTTTATCCCTCTTCTCTTCACTATGCTCAGTGAGTGTCAAATTTGCCAATCCCTCTTTCCTCATTATGTGCCTTACAAATTTCAACTGTTTCTTCCTGATGTTAAAAGTGTCCTTTTCGTTTCTATTTAAAAAAAAAAAAAAAAACTTCGTCGTTGCACACATGTTGAATCAATGGTATTCTCAGCATCCTTCTGTAGAACTATATTTCTGTTGCTTCATGCCTCGTCAGATGTGTGGAGATTGTCCAGGATTTACTGTCATATAAGAGTACTGATATTACGCAACAGTTCAATGCTCTTTTCTCTGTTTCGTACGAAATGTTTCTATTTTTAATAGTTTGATTAGCTTTTGGAAGGCATCTTTTGCTATCACATTAACCCACTGTTAAAACACTTCCCAGATATTTAAGTTGTTGTACTTGCTTAATTCTGTTATCTCCAATTTATAATTTACATGCTTGGTTGTTCCTTTTGCTAACAATCATGCAGTCTGTCTTCTCGCTTTTCTTCACCATCTTCTGTAGGAGTTTTTTAAGTTCCTGTCTGTATCTGCTACCAACACTGTGTCGTCTGCATACCTTATGCTGTTAAGATTATGGCCGTCAATAATAAATCCTGGTAGGACTTTAAATTGTGATATGATCTGATGCAATGTTTCCGTTCTTTGATTGGCTACCATCATTGTCATTTGCCAGCGATCTTGCATTGTTTTGTGGTTTTCTTAATAACTATGATGTGAGCATGCAAATGGTGAAAGCTCTTTCGTCGTTCATATTCTTGCTTTAAATTTGAACAAATATTCTCGCATTCATTGGTGTTATTTCTATTTTGCGCGGTTTATTTTAACGGTTGAATGACTAATCGGCTAAAAATGTTGAAACAAAAAAAAACAAAAAAAAAGAAAATGGCGGAAAACTCGCCAAAATAGTTTCAATAAAAATACCAGTCTGTTATTTCGATTGGGAAATTCGTTTAACAGTGTAAAGTGATATTAAATGGTTTTGAATATTGTTCGTGGATCGTACAAAAAAAATAATGTTATGATTGGAAATCGAATGAGGAAAAAATAAAGGAATTGTTTTAGTATGAGAAAGAACGTATCAAAAAGCAGCCTCATTTTTTTTTCTGATTTTTACTCCAAAGATTATTCTAAAGGCTATCTATGGCCACACTATATTATTATTATTATTATTATTATTATTATTATTATTATTATTATTATTATTATAAACGCATATCTGAGTAGTTAGAACGCTGGCGTTTCGACTATGAGGGCGTGGGTTCGAATTTCAACATGGTCTGTATTGAGAAATTCACTTACCAGTGTAAAATGATATTAAACGGCTTTGATTGGTCTGGTTTGTTTTACCGCATATCAACCCCAATGGGTTATTTAATGCCGACAAAATTTTCATTACTGGTAATATTTTATTTCGTCAAAAATCTATTTCTGGTAATAATTTTTTCCTTCTAAAATATGTTGCTGACAATAATTTTTTTTCAAAAAACTATTTCTGGTAATATTTTTCCTCAAAAATGTATAACTGGTAATAGTTTTTTTCCAAAAATTTATTGCTGGAAATCATTTTTTTACGAAGTATTTCTGGTATTAAAACCTGTTTTTACACATTCATAGTGTTTATACCCCAGTTTCGGGGTTAACTATTTGCTACCGCCCCGGATCAGGGTGGACTTGGGAACACCAGAAATTAAGAGTTGGTTCCACGCTCCTCAAAATCTCATGATCAGAGGACTTGCTGTTGGACGTATTTTATCGTCTTACCCAGGACGCGGATGTACTTTATAGTCTTACCCAAGACGGGGATGTAGTTTACCATCTTACCCAGGACGCGGATGTAGTTTATCGTCATACCCAGAACGAAAACGGCTTCGAATATTGTTTCTTGATCGCATAAAAATCTATAATCTATTTCTGTTATATCTCGTGCAAGATATAATAAACAAAGTAACACGAGTGTTGGGTTTCAATAATAGGTTTATAATCGGAGGTAGGTGTGTCAAATACAGAGACAGAGTCGGGAGTATGCTAACCTCAATAGGGGTTAACAAACGAAGACCTTTTTCGACTGTCCGCTGTGGTCGTACTTAATCGGCAACCAGTCCGTCCATTATCGTGAATGGGGAAGTTGGGTTATCTCATCACAACAATTTCCAATGATAATTACATCATGATTAGAAATTAAATAAGGAAAAAAATGAAGGAAATGTTTTTGTAAAATATTAAACCGTCACAAAAAGAAAATTTCATTTTTTTTTCTTTTTCTCTTTTGTTTTATTTTTGTAGATTTTTGCTCCAAAGTTTATTCTAAAGGCTATCTATGGCCACACTATTAAAAAGCGCATAGCCGAGTAGTCAGAACGTTAGCGTTTCGACTTTGCGAATGCGGATTCCAGTTTCGATATGATCGATTTTTCAAAGAGACGATCTCGAAATGGTTGGGAAATGCTTTACAAAACCATATCAGGGGTTGATGCTTGTGGGTGAAATTGGGGAGACGAGATTGTTTGAAAATGGTCTTCTTGTGCTAGCTGAGGATTTGAGTGTAGTAACTTTGTTCAACAGCTGCTTACGCCGGAATACGAACCCTCTCCAAGAATCTGTAAGAAAGATTCGATTAACACTATAAAAAAGATAAATACTTTTGATACTGGCTAAAAAAAAATAATTGCTTAGTTTTTGGTCCTTTTGAACAGCAGTAATATTTAATCATGGATTTGCCGTGGTGTAATATATAGAGGCTCGCCTTGAGAGATCAAGGAACCAAGTCCGTTACATTCACTTAGATTTCAGTCGAATTCTTTATATTCACTTAGGCACAAATGCCCATGAGAAAAATATGAATCCATCTCTTTACCCCTAAACCTATGGGTAAATAGCAGAACAAACTGTACCTTCAGTGTCTGTCTATATTTCTGAGATGACGTATTATGTACACTATTTACCTTATTCAGACTATTGCCCTCATCTGTGTTGCTTTTTTATAACAAAGTTTTGGCCGTTGTACGCTCAAGCCTGCTTCAGGCGGTTGGAAGTTCGAACTGAACCCTTTATTTCGCTCGGTGGGGTACACTGTTCTAGTTCCACGTGCCATGTCTAATGGATGTCAGTTATCAGTTATCTCCTGTTATTTCGCCTCTCCAAGTTCTCCACAACACTTTGGGTCCTGTCACTGGATCTAACCAACGCCTTTATCCACTGTGCTATGTGTCCTTAAGGAAATCTGTGTATGAATTTGTGGGCCTTTGCTGTTATCATTGCATTTTTTTTTACCAGAGCTCGTTGTTATTATTGCTTTTCTCTGGCAGTCCTTATAGTCTTGGTTGGCCGCTATTCTACGAGAAGGAAAACCCTGAATTCAAACCAGCCTGGAGAGGGTTTTTTAATATTTTCATCAGGACAAACCACTTCTGCCACGTCTGCACTACGTGTGGTGCCATTGTCATCCTAAGATGTTACAAGACTCGTGATTGGGATAATTAACTATTATATTAATTAACTATTTTATTTAATTTCAATTAACTATTATTTTAACTTAATGAACAAATGCTTTAATTTTTATTACATTTGCACTATTTTATTTTATTATCTTTCTTTTTTTTTAGGTGTACATTTGACAACACAGGCATACGAAAGATTTTCCAGTGACTTTTCATGCTACGTGAAAATCCAACCTTATCTTCAACGACGTTCGTTTTGACTGCATCTTAAAAAATAAGCGGCTAAAAATATTATAAAAAGTTGGCCTCTTTAGGCATCTGTCATCTGCTGAAGAATCGTTGATTAAATTTTAATTTTATGCGATTTACATATATTTAATATATTATAACTATACATAAATATATATACATAAATGTATATATATATACATATAGGTATACTTATAAATAAATTATATATTTAAAAAATTATGTATATACATATGAATTAAATATATATGTATAAACTTATATACATATATATATACATACACTAATATAAATTAAACATATATATATATATATATATATATATATAATAATAATAATATTTTCAAGAATTCAACCAAGATGTCTGTTTTCACGACATTTCAAAATTTATCGTCTGCGGATTTCAATGAAAGTGATCCGGAAGTAACATTTAACGTCCCGGTTTCATCACCGGAAATCATTGAACGTATCATTACTGTAGCGTTTATTATGATTGCTACGATTGTGGGTAACCTAACCCTGATTGCCGCCATCTTCTGGAAGCGATCACGTCTTGTGAAACGGGTGAACATTTTTCTCGTGAATCTAGCTATCGGTGATCTGACCGTCGCCATGATCACCATGACAACCGAGATCCTTTTCATTGCGTTCGGCGAATGGGTGCTCGGAGAGGTCGTGTGCAAAATCAGCGTCTACCTGCAGATTGTGACGTTAGCCAGTACCACGTTCCTGATGACGGGCATGAGTATTGATCGATACCAAGTGATCGTCAAACCTTTACAATCGCTTCGAAGCAGACCAAAAATCCGAACTAAGGTGATCACAGCTTGGGTGATGGCCTTTATTTTTGCCATTCCACAGTTACTTATTTTTGTTCAGGTTGAAAAGACCAAAGCGGACGGGAGTACGCAGTTGAAATGCGTCAGCAAGGGCTACACAAATGAATGGCAACGAAAAGTTTATTTCACTTTCCTTACTGCCTATATTCTTGTAATTCCAGGGGTGGTGATGTTTTATTGCTATTCAAACATTACCCGGGTGGTTTTCAGTCGGGCTAATGAAATCCCCCAGATCCGTCACAATAACGTATCGGTCAATACTAATCGTATCTCGATCAACCAATCGCTTGTATCGGCGTCAAAAAGACGCGTCGTAACAATGACCCTGACAGTCATCATCGGTTTCGTCACCTGCCTCACGCCATACTTCATTGTCAACTTAGTGAGAATTTACAGCAATTACACGATCGGTATGAAAAAGGCTTTGCACGTCTCCGAGGCGATCTTTATGACGCACAGCGCGCTCAATCCAATCCTATACGGAATTTTCTCCTTACGAATTGAACACCTTTATAAAGTGTTAAATACGTGTCTGTGCCTGGTGCCTGTCAGAAACGCCATGGAAAGAGACACCAGCGTCGACAGCCTGGGACAGATGAACAATCTTGGTATGCTACGATTACGGTTTGCTCGGTTGGGCAGGGAGAAGAGTCCTACGACGCCCATCGCCCACAATGGACAGTCTTTTGCTAGGAAGAGCTTTTTACGAAAGAATGTCGGAAGGGCGTTCAAAGTAACATTTAAGCAGAACTCAAATACTTTCCATTCAACGTTACAAACTCAAAACCTACGGACAGATACCAGACTGTGTAACGTTTGAAATAACGAAAGCGGTGTTTTATTTTTTTCCAAAAAAAAGAAGTCCATGTCTTTAAAATGTATAAAAATAATCAACCGATTCATCAGTTTAATAAAAAGAAAAAAAAAGCCTTTAATTAAAAAATATAAAAATAGAAACAAAGAAAGACAATGCAATTTTAGAGTTGGTCGAATTATTTATTTTGCTCAAGTTAAAAATAATAGATAATAATGGCTGCCATCGCGTATAATATTACAAGATTAAAAAAAAAACACCTTTGCTAATATGGGAAGTATCGTCGATAAATATATAACCTTTTAGAAAAGTCAACCACAGATGTTCAAAAAAAAAAAAATTACCAGCAATTTATTAAAAACTAAATATATGACGAGTACATTCCAGAATATTAAATTTATTCCGGAATATTAAATTTATTCCGGTGTATTAAATTTATTCCGGAATATTAAATCAAAATGTTATACACAACGAACCAAAAGATTCTTTAAAAAAATGGTTGAAAATTTGCGACGAAAAACATTTCTTGTTATTCCCATCAACAAATACATTTATCTCATTGAAATCAGAAATCATAAATAATTTCATGAAAAGAAAATTTAAAATATATATAATTATCAGTATTAAACAAAAGGAGTTCGCTTATCTTATTTAGATCTCTCTATACTCAGAGTTTCGTTTCAAGGATGTTTTTCACATCCAATCCTCAGAAGACTTTTGGTGAACGTATATCTATATATACTAAAAACATTGCTTCAGATGTTTTGTTTCCTCGTCCTGTTTGTTTCCAATTAAAGTTGTCATTGATAACGAAATATAAAAGATTAGGGAAACAGCCCTTCACATCCGAACCTAGTGTAAGATTATATCAAAGTATTATTTTTTAATTTGTTTCCGAAAGAAAGATTATCTCGATGACAGTAAGGTTCCTTCAGTTCTTGACAACGTCTGGGTCAGTTTTACACTCAAGCCGAAATACAGATAGAAATCAAATAAATCTACAAAAAAAAAATGGAGAATGAATAAAGTCAACAAATTCTAATTTTCGTGAATGTACTGTAAATATTTTATCAATTAATAAAATTAATTCTATTTAACAATTCCAGTGATCAGCAAAACAGATTTTCTTTTGAAAAATCGCTATAGTTACAAATAATAAGGTTTGAGGTATAATAAAACTCGACGCCTGATAATGAATCCAAAAATAACAAAGGGACATAACTGCTGTCCAAAAGTAAAAAAGGGACTTAACTGCTGTCCAAAAATAGATTGACTCACGAGTTGAAGTTTTATAAAAAAAAATATCCAAGGCAAAAAACAAAAATAATAATTCGAACAAAACTAAAAACAAAGAATTACCCTCAAGAATTTTTTATATATATATATATATATATATATATATATATATATATATATATATATATATATATATATATATATATTCAAAGTCTGTGATTAATATACAAAGAAACCATGACTGAACCTACTATTTTGATCCCGGCACCAGTTTAATCAGCTGATTTAAACAACCTTGATCTATCTCGTAAATATAACGAACCAATGTAATTATGTCCAGTGCAGCGGATAATGAAGATATGTAATTGAACCTACGTCTTGAAAAACAGGATCACACAGTTTAACAAAAAATAATAAATTCAAAAACGAATTTCTATTGATTTTGAAACGAATTTTATTTTATTTTCTTCCTCCTTATTAAAACAGAAGTAAAAAAAAAGTAACAATTCAAAATAGAATCTAATGGATATTATGTTAATGATAAACCTGGACAGGTGAATGAGTGCCAAGTCTTAATTCGATCATGGTGTCATTGCGATGACTCAGAATTCTTAGTGAAATGAAGAATATGCGACAGGCGAACCATAAAAACTTGTCGAAACTAACCAAGCTTAACCGAGTCTGATCCAGCTGAATACGAGTAACTGAATCCAGGTGATTGTATAGCGCCACTCTTCTAACCGGGATGTATCTGTCTGATTTTTAGAAAAAGGAATTCAGCATTTTACCTGAGCTCGAACACCGACTGCTGATGACAGTGGAAATGATGAAGCTATCTCATCGAGGAGGTAAGCCAAGGTGAGACATATTTATTTATATCGATGTCTTTCTCATAACACTGTAACAAATTTTAATAGTCTTTTGTCTATGGTCAGTAAATGTTGTTTTCTAGTTGCTTGTGCTTACAAAGCAGTGGAAATGACTATTATTCACTTCAAGCTTGGCTTTATCACCCTGGACATCGGTTTTGAAACTAACCTATTTTCCATTACATCCAAGACAGATTCAATGCTGAGTTGCTGAAGGAAAGATTTATAGAACTTTCTAGAACTTTCAAGTATTATGCACTTAAAATTGATCCTTATGAAACAATTTGCCAGAGCTCTAGATAAGGATTTTGCAGCCTTCGAATATCTCCAAGACTTCTTCTCTAAGCTGTCTGTGGCAAAAGTCAAAACAGGTGTCTTCGTTGAACCACAAATAAAAGAAAATCATAGAGTACAAGCAATTTCCCCACAAATTCACCAAGACGGAGAAAATAGCGTGGAACTGCTTTGTCATAATGGTTCGGAGATTCCTGGGGAAAAACTATGTGGACTTTGTTAAAACCCTCCCGAGGATCTACGGCAAAATAGGGCTGTAGATATCTCTTAACGTCCATATACTTGATAAATTTGAGAACATGGGGGCGTACCCAGAGGAACAAGGCGATCGCTTCTACCAGTATATACTGGAATTTGAACACCGCTACCAAGGATAGGATAACAAAAAATGGATGGGGGACTATATTTGGGGGATGATTCATGAAACTAATTTATAGTATAAGTGGAAATAGGGAAAAACTACATACGTCTACATTTTTCTCTCTTATGTAATCCTAGAATAAATAAATGTTACTTTTGAATCTTATATCGTTTTCTTCTTACTTTGTGTGAATGACAATGTTCACATTCGCCAGTTTTCCAAATCGGAATGGGTACATTTTTGAAATATCTTTATCCTGGTCACAAAAGCAAAGTTTGAAGGAAATATTCTTGGTGTAAGCAAAGATTAAATAACAGTTGCTACCCAAGGACAAAAATCGTGTTACACAGCGTAATTAAACAACAAAAAAAAATTCCATTCGAACTTTTTCCCACGAACTTTGCAAGTTAACTGTTATCGTTACCACATATCCGCATAAACTGTGCCTCATACTCCTTAATCTTACCGTTCACACAACAAAATTCTTAAGTAATACTCAAAAGAAACTAGTCCGTTTACATTTCTCTCATGAAGTACTTTGGTTTAGTATGATCATTCGTTTTATACAATTAGCGCATTTTGAGCCGCAGCTGGAGTCACCACTCCCCCCCATCTCACAATTGTGGTGCATGGTCACATTCAATTTAGCATAGTGCTTCCAGGTTCCTTTTGCACCGCCGCTGTGGTCACCGCTCCCCTCCATCTCACAATTGTGGTCCATAGTGACATTCAAGGCAGAATAGTGGAATGGCTTCCAGGTTCCTTTTGCACTGCTGCTCTGGTCACCGCTCCCTTCCATCTCAAAATTGTGGTTCATTGTGACAGTCGAGCCAGGATAGTGCAATGGCTCCCAGGTTCCTTTTGCACCGCCGCTGTGGTCACCGCTCCCTTCCATCTCAAAATTGTCGTTCATGGTGACATTCAAGTCAGGATAGTGCAATGGCTTGCCGGTTCCTCTTGCACCGTGGTTGTTGTATTTGACTCGTCTCTCCTTGCAGATGTGGATTTTCTCTAAAAATTACCTTCAAACCTTTGCTTCAAGAGGCAGGGCCTACAAGGCAGTGGGGGTGAACTCAGAGCCTCCGTCTCCTAGACCAGACGCCACCCATGGCTATAAGAACTAGGTTCTCTGATTCCTCAATCCGAGCCATTACTCCACGTGTCTCCTCCCGAATCAACGTCTTAGATTCGATATAAAATAAAAGATATCTGTTAGGCTGATAACATCACAGAATTTCCCTCCCTGACAAATCTACTCAGGTGAGATATCTACCTGGATTACATTGATCGAAAAGCGAACGTTCTAACCATACACCCACGCAAATGATAGTATTTATGCCCAAAGCAACGTACCAAGACAGTCTGATTAAACGAAATCAAATCCTTTCAGAAGATCTAAAATTGTATTCGAATTACAAAAATATATAATATAATGACTCAGCGTGGAGCGATCGTTAATTCTTAAATAGAATTCGTTTTGGCTAATGCTTTACTTTGGGTTTAATAATAGTATGATTTTTTTTCTGAGGCTATTATTCGCTCTTGTAGTTAGTTTCTACTCTCACACAAAGTTTTGGCTAATTACCTCGCCTGTCTTCATCACTGTAAGGTGATTGGCGAGTGCAACATATGTTTGTAAAGTATGAAGTCGCGAGATAGGTGAGGTCGGAAAAGAATTTTTTTAAAAAAAAAAAAAAAGCTCAAATGATTGATGGTATTTTTGTGCAAAAGAGTTACCTCGTTCGAATCCGAGTTAAGTAAATCGTTGGTATATACCTACTATATTTGCCGTTTTTATTAAGATAATGTTATTTCTTTCTTCATTTCAAGAAAAAATTAGGAAAAATCCTTTCTTGGAAAACTATTCCCTTTTTTTTTCGGAAAGTTTAGCATCCTGGTCTCCTTCACAAGTTAAAAAATATTATGGTATTTCCGGACGAATTTTTGAACCGATTCAATCTGTCTTATAAAATCACGAAATGAATGTTGTTTTGAATGGCCAATCTTCTAGATCTTTTTTTGTATGAAGTGTTCTTCCCGACTCTATTCTTGGATCGACGTTGTTCCTAATTTTCATAAGCAACCTTCCTGCTGTCATCAGTTCTCTACTCGATATCTATGCTGTGGACACAACTATTTACTCTTGTTCTAGTAAGTCTGATAAGGAAAAATTGGGAGCTGATCTCAAAAATTACCTACAATCTGTTGTTAACTGGGGCAATGAATGGCATGTTATTTTAAGGCCTCAAATACAAAACTGAGCACTTTTGTTTCATCATCATTATTCGACAGAATTTGGGACATTCAAACCAATGTAAACGGTCCTTTTTTAGTTGTATATTAAGTGCTACGCGAGGGCTACATACAGTTTTGACCGGTTGCCACCCAAAGCTATTTATCTTTCCTAAGGGTATTTGCACGTAAGTGAATGTAATGGATCCAACTGGAATTCGAACTCGGCTCCCTGATTCCCCAATCTGAGGCGCTATCTATTACTCCACCGTTCGTCCTTATCTAAGAGAACCCTTTTTACATCCCATCAATATGGCTGATGCCAAGGTGCAATAAATCACTCTCCTGGGAAATGGATTTATTACACCTTCTTGGACTAACGTTTCCGTTTACATGAAGTGGAAAGGTTATATTGACTCAATTACTAGGTCTGCTGCTAGGAAAGTTGCATCACTGTATCCTGTTAGATAATTTAACTCTCCAAATTCTTTTTACGTATTTCTTGCTTTGAATATTGCTTCCATATATGGTCTAGTGCTCTTGCTATCTATTTAAAGATTCTTGATAAAATCCAATGAAAGGATCTGCAAAGTTATTGGTCCTTACCCGGCATCTCGGCTTGAGTTACTTTCCCACCGCCGTAACATATTTTCCCGGTGCCTGATAATGTAATGGTAATCTTTCTGATGATCTTTCTGCTATGGTACCTAGAATTTATGAATTTAAGCGTAGCACTAGATTGGCGACAGGACCTCATCATTTTACAGTTGAAATGGCTAGATATAATCATAAATTCGATGCTAACCGTTTCTTCTATTTGCACTTCTCGCATGTGGAACTCTCTTCTCAGTCAACTATGATCATCGAAAATGTAAATTCAAAGCCAATTCTTACATTCTGTCTTCTTCATTATTTTATTATTTACTCGCCTTAATATGTTTTTTCTCATATTCTCTAACACTCACTAGGCCCCAACTTGCGTCTTAGTGGTTTTATTGCCTTGCTTGGGGTGAAATGATTCAAAACAAAGATGATGATATAGATATTTATTGGTGTTTTATCTACATGAGTTTGATTAGATCTCGAATGTTTTTACATTGGAGTATATCTTACCTTCATGTCTACTAAACTGTAACTATGATTGGGGTTCATAATGTATGATTGATTCGATTTTTACGGCAAGGGTGTAGAATTGGCTTACTAGCCTTGGGTGGCAGCCAGCCTAAAAAAAAAACTACTATGAATATGGTACCATGGACAATGTAACCGGAAACGACTCCACTATATTTTCCAAGAAGTCAGGGTAATTCACGAATAATAAAAATAGAAACCTGTGAAGACACATGATCTCCTACACCTTGAAATCCATTAAATCTATCAATATATATATATATATATATATATATATATATATATATATATATATAGAGAGAGAGAGAGAGAGAGAGAGAGATAGATAGATAGATAGATAGATAGATAGATAGATAGTGAAAGGACTGAGATAGATAGATAGATAGATAGATAGATAGATAGATAGATAGATAGATAGATAGATAGATAGTGAAAGGACTGAAATGGAGGGAGGGTAGGGGAGAAAAAAAAAAAGGAAAAATAAAAAAAAGAAGAGGAGAGGGAAGTAAAAGAAAGATATATATATATATATATATATATATATATATATATATATATATATATATATATATATATATATATATATATATATATATATAGAAAAGAGTAACAGACAGACAGGTAGGTAGGCAGAGGTAGCTAGGTAGGGCTTAACTGATTGATTCGTTTTCTATGGGTTTTTGCGGGATATTTAAAACCAGGAAATATTTTTAGATTGTAACATTTTTTTCGTGAGTTGTGGCATAATAATGGTCTAGCAATAAAAGTCAGATAGAGCGATATATACGCTATGAAAAAGAATTTTCCTAAGATGTAATTACTGCGTAGTATGAACATTGTTTTTTTGTTTTGTTTTGCGTAACGGATCAATTTACAATTAATTTAGATAGCAAACTAAACACTCTTCTTAAAACATTTTTTATGTTTTTTTATATTGATTTACTTTATTTATTTTTTATTTTTATTCGTGGTCTGTATTGCTTATCCAGTAATTCAATAATATAATAATAATAGGATAGAAAATGAAAAAAAAATGGTTATTTCTTGGAGAGGTGCGTTTATGTAGAAATATATATCCTCATCTTTATCGCCATATTTATTACAACGTTTCAGCCGCTGAACGCTCCGGCCTTCTTCAGTTGGTTGGAATGTCGAACTGAACACTTTATTTCGCTCGCTGGGGTAGACTGTTCTAGTTCCACGTGCCATGTTTAATGGATGTCAGTTATCAGTTATCTCCTGTTAATTCCCCTCTCCAAGTTCTCCACTGCCTTAACCGGGTTTTGAACTCACATTCTTTGGGTCCTGTCACTGGATCTAACCAACGTCTTGATGTAATATCAATCACCATCTTTTTTCTTCTTCAACCACTTTCACCTTTTAGCCATTCCTTGGTCCCACTTATACTTTTTTTTCTCCCATCTTCACTCTCCGTAACCCACTGCATACCAGTGGTATACCTACCGTATTTGAGGTGAAATGATTAAAAAAAGATAGATATGAACTGATTGAATAGGGTTAGATCCTAGGATAGATAGATAGATAGATAGATAGATAGATAGATAGATAGATAGATAGATAGATAGATAGATAATGATCAGATTGAGATAGATAGATAGATAGATAGATAGATAGATAGATAGATAGATAGATAGATAATGATCAGATTGAGATAGATAGATAGATAGATAGATAGATAGATAGATAGATAGATAGATAGATAGATAATGATCAGATTGAGATAGATAGATAGATAGATAGATAGATAGATAGATAGATAGATTGAGACAGACAGATTTGAACAAACTAGAATAGATAGATAGATAGATAGATAGATAGATAGATAGATAGATAGATAGATAGGAATAAATAATAATGTTTAAACCATTCCGTGACTGATATTAGTGACTATTCAAAATCGTCTTGGATACATGATAAATTTAAATAGTTTGCCCACACGCCCGCGTCTACACAGACGCCATCAGAGAGAGGGAAAGAGAAAAATTTTCAAAAAATACCACGTATTTGTATATCTCCATAATTCTGATGGCTAAAAAGTAAATTTATTTCCTGACCTTCCAGTTCAAACTGACTTGTCATTGCTCAGTATGAATCAATGTTTTCCAACGTGGAGCGCTAGTGGACACTTGTTAGCATTTTTATGTTAAAACAGGCATCTGCGACTTTTTATTTAATTTAGGGGGCGATGTTCGCGATGTTCGGGATGTTCGTTGGGTATTTATCCATTTGTTTTTCAAATTTTCAAAAATTATTCAATATATACTGCAAAAGGAAATTTCTGAAAGGTCTCTAAAGCTGTGAGAAGCTATCAATCTTTTCTTCATTGCTTTTCCAATTTTCTGTATGGCTGAATGTGGTTTCAACGCAGTTACCACAGCTTCTTACTAAACAAAGAAACCGGTTGCCAATTACAAAACAAGGAAATCTATGATTACTTCTAAGCAGCATGGAACCTAGAGTAAGATCCTTAGCCAGTAAGCACCAAAGTCAACCATCGCATTGAAAACATTGAGATAAGCTATCAAATGAACCTAGAGTAAGATCCTTAGCCAGTAAGCACCAAAGTCAACCATCGCATTGAAAACATTGAGATAAGCTATCAAATGAACCTAGAGTAAGATCCTTAGCCAGTAAGCACCAAAGTCAACCATCGCATTGAAAACATTGAGATAAGCTATCAAATGAACCTAGAATAAGATCCTTAGCCATTAAGCACCAAAGTCAACCATCGCATTGAAAACATTGAGATAAGCTATCAAATGAACCTAGAATAAGAGCCTTAGCCAGTAAGCACCAAAATCAACCATCGCATTGAAAACATTGAGATAAGCTATCAAATGAACCTAGAGTAAGAGCCTTTAACCAATAAAGCACCAAAGTCAACCATCGCATTGAAAACATTGAGATAAGCTATCAAATGAACCTAGAATAAGAGCCTTAGCCAGTAAGCACCAAAGTCAACCATCGCATTGAAAACATTGAGATAAGCTATCAAATGAACCTAGAATAAGAGCCTTAGCCAGTAAGCACCAAAGTCAACCATCGCATTGAAAACATTGAGATAAGCTATCAAATGAACCTAGAATAAGATCCTTAGCCATTAAGCACCAAAGTCAACCATCGCATTGAAAACATTGAGATAAGCTTTCAAATGAACCTAGAATAAGATCCTTAGCCACCTAGAATAAGAGCCTTAGCCATTAAGCACCAAAGTCAACCATCGCATTGAAAACATTGAGATAAGCTATCAAATGAACCTAGAATAAGATCCTTAGCCATTAAGCACCAAAGTCAACCATCGCATTGAAAACATTGAGATAAGCTTTCAAATGAACCTAGAATAAGAGCCTTAGCCATTAAGCACCAAAGTCAACCATCGCATTGAAAACATTGAGATAAGCTATCAAATGAACCTAGAATAAGAGCCTTAGCCATTAAGCACCAAAGTAAACCATCGCATTGAAAACATTGAGATAAGCTATCAAATGAACCTAGAATAAGATCCTTAGCCATTAAGCACCAAAGTCAAACATCGCATTGAAAACATTGAGATAAGCTATCAAATGAACCTAGAATAAGAGTCTTAGCCATTAAGCACCAAAGTCAACCATCGCATTGAAAACATTGAGATAAGCTATCAAATGAACCTAGAATAAGATCCTTAGCCATTAAGCACCAAAGTCAACCATCGCATTGAAAAACATTGAGATAAGCTTATCAAATGAACCTAGAATAAGAGCCTTAGCCATTAAGCACCAAAGTCAAACATCGCATTGAAAACATTGAGATAAGCTTTCAAATGAACCTAGAATAAGAGCCTTAGCCAGTAAGCACCAAAGTCAACCATCGCATTGAAAACATTGAGATATGCTATCAAATGAACCTAGAATAAGAGCCTTAGCCATTAAGCACCAAAATCAACCATCGCATTGAAAACATTGAGATAAGCTATCAAATGAACCTAGAATAAGAGCCTTAGCCATTAAGCACCAAAGTCAACCATCGCATTGAAAACATTGAGATAAGCTTTCAAATGAACCTAGAATAAGAGCCTTAGCCATTAAGCACCAAAGTCAACCATCGCATTGAAAAACATTGAGATAAGCTATCAAATGAACCTAGAATAAGAGCCTTAGCCATTAAGCACCAAAGTCAACCATCGCATTGAAAACATTGAGATAAACTATCAAATGAACATAGAGTAAGTTTTTAACATCTTAATCATTCGCATTGAAAAAATGAGAAATTATTTTCAAATGAACCTTAAAATGTTATCTTGCACCAAATCAAAGATGAAAAATTGAGTATAATGAATTAGAATAAAATTAAATTTGACATGGGGACGTTGAAAAAAAGTTTTGTGTCCAGAAGTGGTCGTTAGTTAAAAAAAGTTTGGGAAAACATTGATTATACATAAATGAACCTAGAATATTTATTTATTTATGAAAACATTGAGATGGCTGGATGAATCTAGAATAAGGTGAGCCAGCGTTCGCATTGAAATCATTGAGACTTCAAATGGTTCAAATGAATTTCACCATGGTCGATTTGTCTAGAATAAGAGTCTTCATTGATATTATCGGACATTGAGGGGATGAATAAAGCGCGTGGCATCTTTGAAAAAAAACTTTCAAATGCCTAGAAAAACCCTACCATTAAGCTCGATCCACCATTGTCAAAAACATTGAGAAATTTTCAAATGAACCTAGAATAAACCCTTGAGGGCCGTCGATAACTGTGCATTGAAAGAACATTGAAGTCCCAAGTCATGTGACCGAGAGTTTGAGTGTGCATTGAAGTTGTTCAAAAACTGTTGATCATGCTACCAAATAACACGCTCTTTCCAGATAAGCTTTCATAGTTGCTTAGCCATAAACCGTAGATGGCCTCTATGGGTGTTGAATAAACACAAATGCGTCTGAAAATAGAACCCTAGAATACGAATGGCCAAAGTCAACCATCGCATGAATATATATATTTATGAACCGAATGTCTCATTGTCAACCATGCATTGTTTTGAACCTAAATAAATTAAGATAAGTTCGCATTGAAAGGTTTTTTAATTGGATATTTTAAGCCTATTAACCTACGTCAACCATCGCATTGAAATAAATTTTTTTTCAAATGAACCAAGAATAAATTCTTGCATTACTTAAAGTCAACCATGATTGAAACATTAATCAACTCAAATGAACTTAATTTTAGCCATTTTCTTGAAAAACCATCAATTGAAATCATTGAGATTAAGAAATGAAATAGAATAAAGCCTTTTTTTATGCAACAAAGTCAACCATCGCATTGAAAACATTGATTCATTCAAAGTACCAAATAGTAGCCATTAAGCAAAAAATCAATCGTCGCAGTATCATTGATTGCTGGACTTGCAATTTTGATTAAATAATATTCACTTTTTATAAAATTTCAATTTTCCAGATCAGAATTTTGATCACGAAAACATTGAGCGTGTCGATTAATTTAAAATCGAAAATCTCTAAAAAATCTCTCTCTAAGTGTTATCTATATATATATATATATATATATATATATATATATATATATATATATGAAAAATAAAAACACTGCTAGACGAAACGGATAATACAATTTGTAAATAAAAAATATATATTTGAACAAACCGATATATATATATATATAAAAATATAGTATAAATAATAAAAAAAAATAATAATAATAATCAAAAATCAGAACTTGTAGAATGAACAGAGAGACATAGATAAATAAAAGAAAAAAAAAACATCGACATGAAAGATAAATAGATAAATATATAAAAACTGAAAAAAAATGAACTCAATACACTAAGATAGAAGATAAAATAGATAGAAAAGATTAATGAGCAAGAACGCATATCTTTACTTAAAAAGGTGACCTTTTTTCGGTCAACACCATATAGAACAATATATGAAAATATAAATATATTAATCGCGGGGCATAGACAAAGTGGGGGAGAAAGGAACCACGATTAAAAATATAATTTAATATTTAAAAAAGGGAGACTGAGAAAAAAATGAAGATTGTGTTTATAAATACATATATATTTATATATATATATATATATATATATATATATATATATATAAATTGCATCGACCATCTTTTTGTGTCGGCAGAAAAAAATTCGTGGGTGGTTTGTGAGTTTATATTTTCCATTTAATTTTCAATATGTTTATCCTGTTTTTATTTTTTTTTGTATATATTTTTTTGTGTTTTGTGTGTTTTTGTGTTGTTTTTTAACATTTGGACATTACAGCCTTTTTAAATTAAATTATATTTTAATCGTGGTTCATTTCTCCTCGCACTTCGTTTATGCCCCGCGATTATCGTTATATATATATGTATATATAATGATATATATGATGTACTAACTGAAAAAAATATATAAATATATATATATTTAAAACTATCTATAAGTTCTGTGGTATCTGACATCTATCTATCTGTCATCAATTTATCATTACTGTTAATAATCTTGTAAATATAAGAAATTCTATGTCCGAAAACATTTTCTTTTTTGCAAATCAAACCAATATATATCTAAAAATACAAAAAAGAATATATATAAAGAATATATACGTCAGCCGAAAATATTTTTAGCATCCAAATTCAGAGTTACTAAAAAAAATATATATATATAAAATAATATAAATAAATATATCAATATATATACTCAAACCTAAGAACGGAAAAATAGCTATATAGCCGAATCATTTTTCTTCATCATTTGCTTTGATCCTGACGATCAGAGGGTGAAACCGCGTTAGGTTTGAATGGCTTTTTGCTTTAATTAATTAATTATATATATATATATATATATATATATATATATATATATATATATATATATTTAAATAAAATAAATTTACAAACATTGTACAAAAGTTCTTCACAAACAAAAGTCCATATAAATATATGTCCGTAAATCTTTCGTTTTTGAAAAGTTTAAAGTTTACAGTAAATTTAAAATATACAATCCAAAAAACATTTGTCAAAACCGGCCATATGTCCAAAAGGCCATCCTTGTACCTCAACACAGCAACTCATAACAAATGTTCAAAATTTCCTCCGCTTGCGCCCGTCGGATCATTGACTGGTGGACACTATCAAATACTCCTACAAAGTGTCGATTGGTTTCGCTCGCCCGATGATACGTTGATGAAGCGTCTCTGCATTATTAACATCTGTTGCATAAACCAATTGTTTTATGTGGTAAAACAACTAAAAACAAATGATAAACCCAAAGGGGTAACGTGCAGGCCATGGAACCGGTCTTCCCCTACTTATTCATTTTTCATGGTAGATGTCAGCCAGTGCATCTTGAACAATGTGACTAAAATTTACCGGGACTCTATCAGGCAGGAACCATATTCGTCTTCGTATTAGCAGAGGTACATCCTCTAGCAGGTTTGAAAGTCTTTTCGAAATAAATCCCTTTAAACAGTTCTTGTCAAACGTGCTGGTAGAACATATAGACCTACTAGACAGTCACCTACAATTCCAGCCCACACATTAATCGTAAACGGATGTTGGTGTTGAGCCTGTATTGTACCATGGGGATTCTGATCTGCCCACAAATGTTGGTTGTGTAAATTTGTTATTCCATCTCTTCCAAATGTTGCCTCATCCGTAAACAAGACAGAAGAGACAAACAACGGATCAGCAGTTTGTGCAATAAACCATTGGCAAAGGTTCTTCCTTGGTGAGTGAGCAGAAGATGAAAGACCTTCAGCATTTTGCAAATGATAGGGATACAGGAGCTGCTCTTGAATTATACTTCATGCGGTACAATGATATGTATGATTCTAGGGCCACTTGACGTGTGCTGATACCTGGATCGTCTTCGAAAGAATGTGTTCTTTGTGGCCAGGCGTACGTGAAGATATCGGTCTTCCTCGATGCCTACTTTGTGGTGCCACAGATTTTATCTCAGCAACGAGATAATAAACAGCAACAAAGATTGGATGACTCGGCTGATTTTGGTCTGGAAACACAATTTGATGCAGCTTTGCGTCCATTACTGTTCGTGCAGCCGTATTTAAAAATCATATCTACCTGCTTATTCTGCTATTGTTAAACGGAACACTTCTCAGTTAAATCACTACTACACACATTAAACGTTGAAAACCGACTAGACACAAATGCAGGCGAATGACAAATTTAACCTCATCTAAATGGCAACATAGCGCCATCTACCGTCAACTTTCTTTAAACTTAATAACACGAAAAAGAAAGGATTTGTGGACATATGTTTCTGTGAGCTTTCGTCCTTGTTTTTATGTGAAGAATTTGTAAAATCATTTTCGATACAACCTGTATACATAGTAGTCGTAAAACAAGGTATTTTCTGAATTTTGAAGGATTTTTTTCTGAATTTTGAAGGATTTTTTTCTAAATTTTAGATGTAATGTAATAATTGTGTATTTGTAAAGGAATCCCTCTCTATACAAGTTTCATTAGGAGAAAAAAAACTTTGTTTTACGATGAATAACAACAGATAAGAATGAAATCCTATATTTAACGAAACTTTGACAAAAAAGGGGTTGCTGCCCAAATACACAATACATATATATATATATATATATATATATATATATATATATATATATATATATATATAACGGGATTGGGTAGCTGTTTCCCGAGACAAGACTCTGCCCTTAAACATAGCCTCATCTGGGAATCCTCTCTGCCCGGAGTCAAAGAGTTTGACCAGCACAGCTCGAGACGAATCACCAACTCTAGACTAATTGCCGAAGGAAGGTTATTTACCTTATCTCCACGCAAGGCAGGATGTGGCGAAGGCCGTTAATGCGGGGCAAAACCGAGCCCGTAGGTAACACTTCCAACAATAAAATGAGAGGAAAAAGAGATTTTTCCTCTCATTTCATTGTTAAAAGTGTTATAGATGATCCGGAATTTTTTTTAAAAGGATTTTGTGAAATAAATTATTGTAATGGTACCTTAAAGTGGTCTGTTTTTCATTAAATATTCTCTTTCTTCACATTGAGCTCTCAGGATTTCATCCTCCTTGGATTTACCAATTGGTTTACCAAAATTCTTAAATATAATATATATATAATATATATATATATATATATATATATATATATATATATATATATTATAAAGAAGAGAGGTACCGCAAATTTTTTTTGGTTGTAATGTGGATTTAAAAAATATATATTATGCTTTATTTTCCATAATTTTACTACACGTGTTTCTGGTCTCGTGACCGTCTTCAGGTAAGTCGCAGATTTCCACATATTATTAAAAATAATTATTTTTTTTTCCTTATGTTTTTCGATGTTAAATATTCTCGATATGAGACATTCTCTGTTTTTGCGTTAGTAATCCGAATGTCTTTCTTGAATTATATATATATATATATATATATATATATATATATATATATATATATATGTATGTAAAAATGAGATGGAAAACTATATTTTTCTCCGCCCGTGCGTGTAATTACATTAACATAAACATCACTTTAGTCCGATGATGTGTCACACGAAATGTTTTTTCACTTTTTCACAGATATTTTTTATATATTATATATATATATATATATATATATATATATATATATATATATATATAATTCTAATTTGTTTTTAAATTTTTATATATATAAATATTTTATATATGTTTTATATATAATTCTGTTTGTAATTCTGTTTATACGTCTTTATAGGTTTACCGGCTGAAGAGGACTGTGACAAGAATATTTTAATCCAAGCACTGTGAGAAGGAAATACGCTAAAAAAAAAAGTTCTAAAGACGAAGCCTGTGTCATCTGAATGATGCTAACTATTCCTGCCAGAACATCACTATACGATGTCCACAAATCAAGTCCCGAATAAAGAGAAGAGAAAACAGGCGTAGTTATAATTAAAACATATTTTCACATAAAAGAAACATCCGTATTTTGAATCCAAATATTTTGTCACAAACGACAGTTCAAAAAATGAAAAGTTCGATACATACACTGTTAAATATATCTACTAATTCATAAAATAGTAGTGATCCACCAGTCTCTGGAGACTATTGAGTCTACTAGTGTGACTGACTAATTTCTACTGCAGGCGCCCTTTCAGACATCTTGCTGCTTCTTCGTCACCCACATTTTACACTGAAAATATGCTGAACAGACCTTAGTTACTGTTTCTGGGAGAGAGTGCATAATGTGAAATGAGCAGTAGTCGAACTCGGCCATGATGACTTATGACACCGTGCTAATGCAACCATCGATAGCTTCCGGATAGTTTCGTCTACTCAGTTATAATCAGAAAGCTTTGGCCAATTCGTGGAATGGTTTGGAGCCGCTTTTTATCGTCACTTCGTATTGGGATCATCTTCCCAGTCTGATATTAAAAAGACGTCGCCTCCTTGGTGAGATTCGAAACCAGGTTTAGTATTAAAAACGCTTACAATCAGATGTTTATTTCACCGAGAACACGTCTGTGATGCTTACCCCCACCCCACTCACTGCAAAAAAAGCGTTTAAAAGTGATGAAAGCTCTTATTATGAAAAGCAAGAAACCAACCTTAAATAAAATCAATTATGAACACGGCCACAATGTACTGTCTGGTTTTGTTCGTAAGGCAAACGGGATAAAGGAAAGCAGTTCATAATCCTACCAAACGAGCTTGTGTAAATGGTTGGCAAAACAGGGATTAGGAGAGATATCAAAAGGACAATCTTTACTGAGAGCTGCAAAGGACAGGAGGTTATAAAGAGCCATGATCACCTATGTCCTGAAGAGACACAGCACATAAAGAATACTTTTTAGTAGTGGGGTTGTGACATAAAAAAACAGTTTGATCTGACCCCTTTGATATGTATTTGATGCAA